TTTTCCCGGTTTTCCATTCATTTTCACGAATTTCTTTACGACTTTGGATTTTTGAATAAAAAAAATCCAGAGTCATTAGACGGAAAATGGAAATGCCATTGTCAGAAATTTTCGTGGCTGTTATATAAGAAGACATTAAATTAATTAACAAATTTCCCGGATTTCGTGCAGAAAATAAAATCCACTGATATTTTTTTAAATTCTGTAAAAATAGCGTTTTCCCGAGTTTTAATGAATTTTCGATGGCAATTGATTAAATTTCCAGTTGGAATTTTCACTCCAAGTCAGTATTTCCATTGGGAAATTCCCGATAGAGTTATTTATTTTTCCGTTCATAACACGCGCACTTCATCAAGGGTTTTGTTTGCACGTCAGGATTTTTTTGAATTTTTCCCAAGCGCAATTTTACTTTGATGTGAATTCAATTAATTTTTTTGTGAGCAGCGAGTTGATTGGATTCTCACTCCAAGCTGTTTGCAAATTCAATGAATAGTTGAATTGAAGGGTGACTGCTTTTATTTCCACGAGGAATGAGCATTTACTCATTTTCCCCATTTACCAATTACTCCGTCTTTTTTTTTTGTTATTAAATTTTGGCAAACAACCAGATGGAATTGATACTCTCCATCACATCTGAACAACTTCCCAATGAAAAATATTGAATTTACGTCAGGTGTGTAATGTGCATTGCCGCACACTTTGTTTGACGTTAATTGTCTCGTAAATACTCCGACCTCGGATTGTTGTGTGAATGACGCGGTATCACGATGAGTTTTCCGTCAATTGCCGATGTACGACACTCATTCGTGTACACAAACTTATTTTTTTGTTGCTTCTAATAACGGTATTTCACTGCGCCAATTAAATCGTTTATTACAGCTTTTACCGAGAACGGAAATGTCGGAATGATAAAACCAGTACAGCTATTAATTTTCATTCTATCTTTAAAACTATCAGACTTATCACGTAATGCCATTCACTGACATTCAACAATTCTAGTGCTTCATTTGCCATTTTCAGCATCCCTGTGGATTTTTTTTGGCGGCAAAATTTTTTAAATTCAAAAAATTTCAAAATTCTGGAAAATCGTGGAAAAGCATACCAGGAAAATTGTCCAGGAAAGCCCATCCACGAGTACCATTCAGATCTCCTTTTTTTGTTATTTTTATTTATTTATTATTATTATTAATATTTTTTTTTATTTTTTATTATTTTTTTTATTCAATTAAATTTAAATTTTTTATTCAACAATTTGACGAGCAAGTTGTTAATAACAGGAATGTCCTGCTAATCTTCTGGGAATATCTCGGAGACTCGTGGTTTTATCAAAGAATATCTTCTCACTTTTCTCTGTGGACCCAGTGCATTCCGAGATACTCCTAAAAACAATAGGAATTTATAAACCTCGATCACTCACCACTCCCCCACACAATTAAAACCATAATTAATAACTTTAGAAATGTTTGACTGTCGTCGACGGTAGTACCAGCCATTCCCCCCTCGGGGTACCATTTCATTCCCTCCTGAATTACATTAAACGATTATTTACGTTATTAAGATTAACGGAGAGATGAATAAAATATCTGGAAACTCATTCTCTCAGTTATCGA